GGCAGCACCGCTGCTGCACCCAGGGCTGGAGCACCGCAGACCCTCTCGCTCCGGCCGCTCAGCCCCACTGAGGCAGTGCCAGGGGAGGCTCAGTCACTGCTCCACTCTCTGTGTCTGCATAAGCTCCCCAAGCGACACCACGAGTCGGGGTGTCCGGCTGTGCCCGGCTCAGCCCTGACCCTCCTGTCCCGTGGCACTGCTCCGTCACCTCTTATAGGTGACACAATCAGCTTTGCCTCTTGGTATTTGCCTGGAAAACATGTCTGGATGGCACAGCGCAGCAGATCACCCCCGAGCCATGACGCGAGGACCTTGTCCTGATTTATCTGTGTACATCTTGGCTTTCTTTGCCCAGCCTCGAGGGGGATTTTAATGAACCTAAAATGAGGATTGATAAACTGCAGCAAAGGCAGGAGCGTGAGGCTGGCTGAGGATGGAGGGGAGCTTGGCAGAGAGAGTGTCAACTGATTTTCCTTTCAGCCAGCTTGGACCTGTGTCCTGTTGTGCTGCTGTGACTTTAGGGCCCCAAAACCTGTTTGGTTTGGGGTTTACTTGTTGCTTTTTCCTCCTGGTTTTGCACATGGTGTTCCTCTCCCTGCAAGGGCTGCCTGCTCTGCGAGGGCACTTTGCAGGCGGGAGGTGACAAAAGCTGATGGAGCCAAGAGCATCTGCTTGTGTTTGACCTGAGGGCCAGGAAAAGTCCCAACGGGAAACCAGAGCATCCCTGGCCGGGCGGGAGCTCCTCTCCCGCTCGCTCCCACACTGAAGGAGTTTCTGCTCCCTCTGGTGGTTCCAGCTCCAGCCTCTTTCCACTCGCCAGAGCACGTATCTGGGGGCTGCACCCATCCATCACTCCGGGGCCAGAGCATGCGGTGAGGCTGTGGATGCCTTTGCTAGCGTGGGCAACCAGCTGCAGGGCAGGATGAGTCCCTTAGTGAAGAGGACCAGTGAGATGGGTGGCAGGGAGGACCCATGGGGTGTGCTGACCCAAGCAGGGCTCCCACGTTTCTCTCTAGAGTCTTGGACAAATTCATTAACCCATCCCATGAAGCATTCAGACCTGCTCGCAGGGAGATACAGTGCAGCCATGGGGACAGGCTGCCCCATGGCCAGAAAACCTCTCAGGATGGGGAAAGGTCCCATAGGCAGCATTTCCAGTCAGGACATGTGCAAAAGAAGCAGGAATTGGGATGCCCTAAAAGTGGCCAACGGGGTCTGCAGTGTGAGATGGCTCCAGGAGCTCACAGGAGGCCCCGGAGCTGCTGCGAGGGCTGGAGCAGCTCTGCTCTGGAGCCAGGCTGGGAGAGCTGGGCTGGGGCAGCTGGAGAAG